TTTATAAATGTTTAACATTTATTTGCCTTTTGAAAGATTGTTTATCTCAGTTTTACTATAGATGGCATACAAATTATTATATTAACAAATATTATGGATACCAAACATTTGAAATTTTAGGTACGATCTCTTGTTAAAATTTGTTTCAAAAATCTTTAAATACTATTTTTTTATTAACTCTGAAAAGTAAACTGGACTTGCGTTTTATTTAGGTTTTTCTTTCTTAAGACTAAAAGGATTTTTTTTATACATAAAAACTCAATATTTCTGGTTTCATCGTGAGCTATATTAAAATGTAGAAAGTAATTTTATACACCGATGGGAAATAAACTTATTTTAATTTGACCAAATAAAAATACCAAAAATTTTCTTCATCCCGTCCAGAATTATATTTAGACTCCAATAAATAAGCATTTTCGTTACACAAATATCATATATTACCTCCCACCCCAGTTTTAAAAATGAAGACAAGGAATTGGACTTCCTAAGTCTAGGTTTTTACCCAATGTGACCGGAAGTCAATATTTGAACTTTTCGTGCAACTTTGCGTCGATTAATATGCGATATAAGTGATATAAAAAACCGGAAGTATATAGTTATTATCGTCTTGCTAAGACGCGTCAAATAATATATCGCTTGTACTATTTTGGTGACTTTAAAACAGTAACTTCTGATTGCAACTTTCGAACCGGAAGCCCAAGGTCAAATTTTTCACTTTCATTACCATTGCTGGGTTGTAAACTCTCATTCGACACCTTTTTTTTCATTTATTCTGTTTTAATAACAGAGGAGATGTTTTCACGGACAGACATACGTATAATATAAGAACTTCACCTTTTTTTTAATGTTGAATGGGTCAGTCAAATCTATCAGTTCAACTGTAATGCAGAGAGTCATGGTGAAATTAAATCCAAAATGAAGCCGATTTCCATGGTATTATCCTAACAGAGACCCAACATTGGCATTGTGGATCCGCCTACTTCGCTGCTACGTGTTCTCTTCGGAACTTTATGGTTTCGAGTCTTGGACTGTAAATAAAAATGATCTAAATTACCTGGAACTTTCGGAATGTGATGTTTTAGACGAATTTTAAAAGTGTCTTGGGTGGAGAAGATTCGAAACTAGAACGTCTCAGCAAGACTACTGAGATTATAAAAAGCATCAAGAAGGCAACGAAGGAGTACTCCGAACATATAATGCGAAGTCCCAAACGTAGTTCAGGATAAAGAAAGCCTCCGGGGTTAAAGAACTTGCGAAATTGGTATGGTATTAATACAAGCATGATATTTATGAAGGCAGTGAATAAAATTAAGATAGCTATGATGGTAACCACAGTTCTAAAAGGACATGGTATATGAAGAAGAAAGGAAAAATGGGTCAAAATAATAATGTTTTTTTGATTGGATGGGACAAACGTTTATATAAAAAAGAGAAAAACGATTAAGGTCTTTAGTGCATTTATAATATGTGGATTGATGTGGAATCCATTTTATTCTTCCTGTTGGTCGGTTAGAATCTTTGGACTATATGGAATCTTTAATCGTTTAAATATTTTATGCATATTGTTAGAAGCAGATGTACTTTATCTTTTTAAGCTAATGCTGTTTTGCTTCTATTTAACTCATTCTCGATTTTTGTCATTCTCATTAGCTTTGGTTGAATGTATGAGTGGGTGAACTCTCGCACTTCAAGGAGTATATTTGTTTTATCTATTTATATATTATATATCCACAAAGAAAACTGCTGTTTGCTATTGCAATAATGAGAAGACTCATTTTAAATTGCGAAACGCAGTGGCGTGCTATAGGGATGCTTCAAGCTGGCAGATAGAAGGGCCATTAATCATTTGTGGTTAAGGTGTCAAGAAACTGATGATGTTTCTAAATGTCATACAGGCCGCACAAGTATAACCAATCAGATTAAAGCCCGTTTTATTAGGTTGCAGGCTTTGCAAGATTGTAACTGCTTCACAACTGCAAATGAGGCTAAAAGAGACCCATCAGGTGTTTGTAAGTGGCCAAACCATTGTGCGTGAAGTAGGATTAAATGCTCTAAGACCTGTAAGAGTGTCTGTGTTATCCAGAGGAAATCGCGCTCATCGACATCAGTGGGTACAAAAACACGCAGATTGGGTTAAACGTGAGTAGGCCTCTACTTTGTTTACAGATCGGTCTGAATTTGGATTTCCATCAGATGCAATACAGGCAAGAATTTGGAGCTGATCTGGCAATGCTGAACGTTTGACCACCATGCAGGTGGTTATTGGACATCAAGGCAGCATTATAATGATGTGGAGTGGCATCACTCTTGGTGAAAGAACCAATCTCGTTTATCTGGAACGGTTTCTAAATGCAACAGACTACTGCGCCATTATTCTCGAACCTACTGTTGTCCCCTTTACACAACAAGCTAGTCCCCAATTTCAATTTATGCACAACAATGCGCGTCCGCCTACTGCCAGAGTCGTGGGAACATTCCTCACAGATAATGAAATTGAGGTGTTACCATAGCCTGCACAATCGCCAGATTTAAACCCAATTGAGCATGTATGACACATATTGGACAGACGCATTTTACAACAAAATCTTGCGTTCAATGAAGACACCAACTGTTTGGGGGCATTTTAATGCAGGGGAACAGAATACCACAGCAAGACAACTACTATCTGATCATGAGTTTGCCTTACAGATGTAGGAAAGTAAACAATAACCGTGGATATCATACACTATACTTATTTAACCTTAAGAGTACTTTTTTGGGAGTTAAGAGGCAACAAATTAGTTTTTTTGTTACCATTTTTTGACTTATAGAGTTCTCTTTCAATTTTCTGAAGGGCTTTTGCGATAATTCTAAGAAAAAATGTTCATTTTATCGGGACACTTGTTTACAACTTTTTATTAAAAGTATTTAAAATAAAGTATTTAAAATTCTTTTGTAATCTCGTATATTGTTTTTGTTCTCTAGATTATTTTGATAATATTTTGATGATGATTTTGATGTATAAAGGTAATTAAAGTAAAAGAGTAACTTAATCAATAACTTATCCGAGATTTGGTGATTGAAGTGTAACATTGTCAAACTGTTTCATGGTTTGGTAAGGATATTATAAGAATCGTATTAATACATTGCATACTATCATAAAAAAGACAAAAAATTCGTAACTTTTATTAAACTTCGTTTTAGACTAAAAGTGAGTTAAACTTTTCATAAAAAGTGCCGATTTAAAGCAGAGAACTTGTGAGAAACAAGCTTTTTATTGTGATATTTTTCATCACATGCATGTTTGGAACTTCATTTACATAAAGATCAAATAAAAAAAGAACTGCCAAAGAAATTTGTCAATGGAGGAGGCAATTCGAGCATCGACTCTCCTAGATAAAGGATATTTAATGCAATACGTTGAGGTTTGTTACGAAGACATCATTCCAGCATCAGTCGCAACGTGAGGCGATAAAATTGGGCCATCGATGATTGGAAACGAGTTCTTATCTACGATGAGACTAGAGTAAGCCTAAAAGCTCTAGATGGTCTTGAACATGTCTGGCGAAGGCGAGTAGAAAGGTTTGCCAGCTGCAATATCTCTCCAAAGTAACTTTTGGTGGTGTGGCTCTAAAATGTTTGGGCGGGAGGAATTTTGTTTTAAAGCTCGTACGGAGTTAGTCCCTATACGTAGGAGGTCTATGGATGCCCAATATTACTTAGACAACATTATTGTCGAACATGTAATATCCCTTTGCTCGTTTCTTGGACCTAATTTTTTATTCATGCAAGACAAGACGATGCCCGTCCTGATGTGGCTCGACAGGTTATTGGCTACTTAAATGATGGTAATATTCCATTATTAGAGTGGCCACTCAACAGTTCGGACATGAATCCTATAGAGCATCTATGGTACTAGCCAAAAAAAAAAAAAGATTCCGTAGACGAAGTAAGTAGACGTAGACGTAAAGAAGTCGTAAGAACCCCTATTGCCAATCACAACCAAGTCATTGAGGCCGTTATTGAAGAATCGGAGAATATCCCGCAAGCTTTGTGAACATTGTATAGATCCTGGCATAAAGCAGTATAAGAAGTAGAGGAGGGTCTACACGGTATTAGTGTTGACCCAAATCTATTTTATTGTGTTACTGATTTTTTTCTTTTTGCAATTTGGAGTTATGCTAGCTTATTTACACATTTCCGGCTAAAACAAATTTTTAAAGAAACAAAAAGGCAAATTAAGGTCATGATAAAGTCATGTTGGACTTATTTGTAGGTGCTTATTATTATTTCAATGTAATTGAAGCTTAGTTTTTGTGTACATATTGTGAATATTTAGATTCATTGTGGTGTGTTTATTTCGCCCAGGAGTTTATATTACTTATAGCTGAAAACTTGTGTATTTTTCCTATTTTTTTCATTGAAACTAAATACAAGAGATCATACCTAGTACGATTTACTGGGGTGTTCATTATAAATAAAAAGAGAAAAAGCTCATAGAAAAGCAAATTTATAACAAAGTATTTAAATAAAACCTATAAATGCGATAATATTCTAAATTAACAAAATTGTCCTGCATTCAAGATAGAAAAGGAATGTTTATTAAATAATTTTTAAATAATGTCTACATCTATAGAGGATCGTTTTTGAAATTTCCTTAATTAATTTTAAATAAAAATAATGCAGATAATTTCTTTAGAAAAATATTATCGAAAAATTAGTATAAGTTACAATTTATTAATGAAAATAAATCAAATATCAGTAACATGAATTCTCTGGAATTTTAATATGTATTTAAAATACTGAATTTTACTTAAAAATAAAATTAAAGTTGATTATAAAGGAGGAATTAAAACATAATTAAATGTATACAAACACTGCGACACGGAGAATATCAGGACTTGATTTAAAAAAAGATTTTTCTGATATTACAACTGTATATTTTCATATACTGCACGTGTCAGAAGTTCTAAAAGGAACAAGAAAAAAGTTAGGTACTATCGAAAGTAATGAAAGTCACTTCAACTTATTAAATCACCATTCTGTCTTAGCAACTCTAGCCTCATTTCATGCTCCCTAGCTTTAAGCCTCAAAGAGGCTATACTAGAACTGCGCCTATCCACGTCAGGAGGTGTCACCCCAGATCCTGAAGACCCGGGACTTAATGGTGGCGAGGCCGTGAATTCCTGCTTCGGCCGTTGCGCTGCCGATATATTTGCTAAAAGAGTCTGAAAGGAGCTGGCCGAAGGATACAATCCCACTGAAGGAGGCAGAAGAGGAGGTCCACCCCTGTGATACGACTGTGGTGACGGAAGGTATCCTGGAAGGACATGGGGAGGATAACGGAATGTAAGGGAGTCAAAAGGTTTCCTTAAGCCAAACGGAAGATTAAAAGGATTAGGCAGCGTCGGAGCGACAACTGGAGGAGATGGTCCTGGAGCAGTGGGATTGAGGTAAGGATTGTAGGGGTGACCTGAAGGACCGACTTTCTCCTGTTTTCTCCATTTGGCCCGCCGATTTTGGAACCAGACCTGCAACACAAAAATTTATTTTTTAGTGTAAAATTATACACTTTTCCATATATTTTTTTCTTTCAGCGGTAATGTTATGAAATATAAACGTGGTGTTTATTATATTAAAAATTTTAAAAATGTTTAATATTTGATATAAAAATTTAGTTTCAAAACTTTTTTGTAATTTTTATTGTAATTATGATATAATTTTTTAATCTGTGTTATTTTCTTATATGGTTTGTTGTAATATGAGAAAGATTTTTACATGTATTTATATTTAATTTTATACATAGGGGAGACTGTTTTCTCCGTGTTGGAAGGAATTTTTGCTTAATCGTTCTGCTATTGACCACTTGAGGTCGGTACAATAGTCTCGATTAATAAATATAAAGACTTTGGAATTTAGGGAGATTTGTGAATTTTTGTGTTAAAAGTAAATAATTAGCGAGAACATAAAGAGTCGGTGTGTTACAAAGTTGAAGTTGGTTTTGTCTATAATTTCCCAGGTAAGAAATATAGTATATTTGCTATTTAAAACTTGTGTTCAACAATCCATCAAGTTTACATAACCTTAAAAAATTAATGTGTTTTGGTAGTCGTAGAACATTGTTGTACCTTGCGGCATTACGTTTGGGACTATAAGCTTGTATGACGTAGCTAAACTCGTATGCAAAGCATTTGCAAAAGCATTTACCCCTGTAAACATTGTCAAAGGATTTAAAAAAACAGAGATATAGCCTGTTAATGAAATATATTTCGCGACCACGAATATCTGTCGTCCTATTTAACAGATCGGCCAAATCCAGAATAAGAAGAGAATCCTAATACAGCATCTTGCTCATCAAGCATTCAACTATCCGCAAACCTATCAACATCAAACTTGACACCGGCCTTTTGTAACGAAACTATTTTGCCTACCACACGGGGTATTAATACAGGGGGTAGAAAATTGGGGGAAGAAACTATTGGGGGTGAAGATAGGGCAAGCAAAATAATCGCTACTTGTGCGAACGGCACTCAGGGTTTGGTAGGAGAGCTGGGGTCGTGGATAAGTAAAAGATAAAGAGGGTGGATTGGGCAACTACAGAAAAAAAAACAAAAAGGGTACCGACATAATCTTTTGGGACAAACAAAATAAAAATAAACAGGAAACACCTCAAGGAATTTAATATAGGGCGCCACTTGAGGTGCCTAATTATGCCTATTACAACCACTAGTTTAAACTAGGGAAATTTTTATAAAATATCAAAAACGTATTTTGTTCAAATAAATCTCAAAAAAGGGTTAGCTCAAAAAAATAAACTAAAATATTAAGAAAACAAAATTTAACATTTATTTTTGTGTCACCACAAACAGTTACAACATGGAGAAATACAAGAATATATTATACAACATAATCCAAATTAATAAAAACTTACATGTTCTTTGTTTACATAAGAGATTGCTACAAAAATTTTAAATGGTTTCTAGGTTATAATATGGCCAATTTAGATTATTAAAATTTCTTCTTAATCTTAATCTTTTTATTATTAATCTTAATATGTTAATATTCTTAATCTTTTTTATAATCACTTAACTTTGAAAAACTTGCTACTATCTCTGGATTGGAGCTGCAAGGACAAAACTCTCAACTGGAACAAAAGGAAACCATTTCCATACTGGAACGAAGATCTGACGTAGATAGAATTGGATCAAATAGGAAAACGATAGCAAACTGGTGGGACATCCTATATATTGCTTCAAAATTATACCATATTCTGGTATACTACGAACTACGACTTCGAATATAACATTAAAAAAAATTGCCGAAAAAGTTAAACAATAAACCGAACAATAAACAACTCTAAAATGGTTTATTTTAACTTGGCCGACCTAAGAAAGAATTGAAAAGATATTTGGGTTTAAATACGTACGAAATATTCTTAGATTTATCAAACATATATAAGCGGATTTTAATATTTTACATATACGAGGGGACCTCAATATAAAATGCTACAACTTCCACTGCAGTCTAATGACAACAAGGCAAATAACACTGACTTCAAAAGCCCGTTTGTAGTGCGCCCATTCCTCAAAGCCGTAGCTCGAAAGACTTCTCAAAAGGGACAAAAGCGTGGTAAAACAAGAAGTTTGACAGAGACCCCAGAGAAAGAGGAACTATTGCAAAGTAAGGTAAAAAACCAGTCAGTCAAAAGGAAGGTTATCTGCGATAGTTCAGATGAATCTGATAAAGGGATCAAAAATATAACAAAAGATTCAGGTGACAAGGATCTAGAAACTTTTCTGACAAACGAAAATGAACATTATTCATTAGAGCAACAGGCAATTGAAGAAATACTGACCTCTTCCAAGTTAAAAGAAGGTGATTTTGTTCTCTTAAAATTGGCCAGTAAAAAGAATATTGCACACTATCTTGCCAAGTTGCCAAGATAGTTGAGGTTTTAGATGACGAATACATGGTCAAATAATTAAAAACAGTTATTGGAAACAATAAATTTGTCTATTCAGATGAGGAAGTCTCTTATGACTCCGAAGGCGACATAATAAAAAAACTGCCTTTACCACATTTGGTTGAAACATCACAACGCCAACAAAATATCTTCTCTTCTCTTCTCTCTTCTCATTATCTATCCATGCCATCAAATTCTTTGTGCAATAAGCGTTACCTTTGTTCTCTTGACCCATCTATTCTTGTATTTCGAGATTCATTCATTGTGTTGCATCCTCTTCTCCAAAAGGCCGACAACCATTTAAAACAAGAGCCGCCGCATGAGAGAATCGCGCTCTATCAGAATGTTGATCCGGGAACAACTTCACTGGTCCTAGAATGTTGACTGACAGCCAACCGCTTCTGCTAGAGTATCGATCTAGAGGCAGTTCCTTACCGGTCTAAGAGTGTTAATATGAGATTTGTTTTGTAGCTAAGTGTTGATTAGTCACTTCTCGCTTCTTGCCGGATCCAGTGTTGATCCATTTGTCTACCTCTAACCCAGAGCATTCCTTTTCGTTACCGAGTGGGTCTTAACAAATTGCATATTCGTTTGAATGCTGCTGTCTAGAAGACATACTCTTCACAGTACGTAGTATTTTTTTATAATATGAATAAGAAAGTTATGGGACACCATGTAAATTGGTCCCTGAATACTGAAAGGTTGAGAAACGCTGCCATAAAATCAATTTTGATTATTAATATATATTAGGTTTAATAATATAATTGACTCAAATTGTAAAAAACAAGTAATGCTTTTAAAAATTTTTGCTTATCACCGAACTCCTTGTTATATTGGCCCCTAATTAAATAAACAACCTTTAGTGTAGTTATTTTTGTAAAAAAATACATAATTTGCAAACAATCTCAGTATATTTACAATAAATGGAAAGCATGCATTAGCCAACAGTATAATTTCGTTACTTTGTAAAAGTAAATTACCTTCGAAATGAATCCAATCATGTTTTTGTAGTCATATCGACAGATAAAATGGCCATTACTATAAGTCCATCACATTTAATTGACCTAACGGTAAATATTACCTGTATTTACATCACACTAATTAAATTCTCAATTAAGAAATTGCATACATACAAGCGAATAGTTTGTTTTTATCTATTAGCTACTAGATAAGATACTTCTAAGAAATTATATTATTAATTAGTGGTAATATTTTTAAGATTAATGGAAAATCACTGTCATTACTGGTCATAAAATTATCATTATATATTTAAACTAGAACAAGGGAGAAAAAGAAGGAGTGTAGTAGTCTGAAGTGAATGTACAATGACTTAAGATGACTACAAAGTTGCGTAGACAAGGTTGCAGCATAGCCTTCTCTTTTCATCGGTCTAAAATCTTTCGTATTCTATAACTTTGTATTAGAAACAACAAAATAAAAAAAAAAGAATAGAAACATTAAATTAAAACGCTAAATTAGCCAGATAAAATGAGACTACCGGTATGAGAGGGTATGTAACAGTAATGTTGGTAAGCGTTTTTATAAACCTAATTTAACTATTGGCTGTATAACATTTAACTATCTCTCCTAATTATTTTGAGCCAATCCTATTGATCCTAAGAACTCTGAAATTATTATAATAATTTCACAAATGACATGGCCGTTAGTTTTACAAAAATGGTAAAGCAGCTAAAACAACACATTACTGTTAATCTAGAAAATTCAAGTAAAAAAGTGTTTAAAACAACAAGATACAAGGAACAGGACTGCATTATAGGCGAAATTTTAAAGATAATGACAGAAGAAAGTTTGGAAGAACAACAGGAACAAAAATATTCTTCTTCTTAGGGTGCCTGTCCGTTCCGAACGATGTCGATCATTCTGGCTATGATGACTTTGTTGGTTGCTATACGAAATAGCTGAGGTTGAGGTCTTTCTATACCATGCTCTCAGGTTAGCAAGCCAGGATATTCTTCTTCCTCCTGGGGCCCTTTTTCCTTTAATTTTACCTTGCTAAATGCATTGAAGTAGCTCGTATCTGACTTGATTTCTCATTATATGTCTTAAACCAAATCCGCGGTTGTGTTCATTATCCACAGCACTTCTTCATTGGTGACTCTGTCCATGGTATCTTTAGGATCCTTCTGTATAACTATAGCTCAAAACCTTAAGTTTTGATAGAGTTTTCGCCTTTAATGTTTACGTTACACTTCGTACAAAAATATCCGATATACTATTACATAGTTAGAAAACATAACAAACAAAATATGGCAGGGCAAAAAAAGTACGCTTCTTCATTCAGAAAAATGTATTGAACAGTTGCAAAACAAATATGACACCTATAATTTACATAAGAGTCAAAAAGCTAGCTGGAAAAAGAACACGCATTTCTTAACTGTAAAAGAAGTAACATGTTAAATATTGGTGACGGTGTATTGTAAACTAAAATATTTTAGTTGACATAAGGTTGAATGCTCGAATAAATAAACTTTGATAATATACAAGGCAAATATCGAGCACAGTATTAATTTAATCTTGCCCAAGTACTTTCGACCACTAGATCATTTTCAGGGGCATTTCGTCAACTGCGGCCTATCCGACAAGGGTAGAATGTCATAAATATAAAATGGGACATAACAATACACTACACAAAGACAAACAAACACTTTAAAATTTTTGAAGATAGACGAAGCTACATGGTATATAGAAGCCGGAGACAGAATGAATGCATTCAAATGAGATCGATTTCATACTGTCCACGGAACAATATATCATTAAAGATGTAACAGTTCTTAATAGATTCACAACAGGTAGCGATCACAGGATGGTCAGAGCAAAAATTAGTATTGACGGTAAATGTGAGATGAAAAGAAAAATAAGTAGAAACTGCGATCTAGTAGATAGAAAAAAACTAGGGTAATATAAAGAGATATACAAAGACCTATTAAAAGAACAACTTACCCAAAAATTAGACAGTGTTGATAAAGATATAGACGAAATAGACAACATACTTACAGCAACAATGATTACATCAGGAAAAAAATAGCAAAAAAGGATCTAAAAAAGACCAACTATATATCAACAGAAACAAAGAAGCTTATAGATAAAAGAAGGAAGCTGAACGAAGAAGGCAAAAGGAAATCTATAGAATATGTAGAAATCAATAAAACAATAAGCAGAATGATAAAAGAAAATAAGAGAAAGGAACAAGAAATAAAAGTAGAAGAAGTAATACAGAACAACAAAAATATGGAATGCTTAAGGCCGAAATTAAATAAGTTTGAAATAAGCAAAATAAAAGATTTATATGGAGTAGAAACAATCGTTAAAGATGAAATCATAAATATAATCCACCATTTCTACTCAGAATTATATAAAACAAAAAAGGAACCACAAGAAGAAATTAAAAACCAACTAAGGTTAAAATAAAAAATGTCAACTCAGAGCTACAGCCAGAAATAAGCAAATCAGAAATAAAGAAGGCATTGAAAGAAATGAAAAAACAATAAATCGCCTGGAAAAGATGGAATAACTGCCGAGATGCTAAAATATGGTGGAAAAGTGGTAATTAATACTTTACATCCCCTTTTTAATAAGATATTAAAAGAAAAAAGAATCCCAAACAACTGGAAGGAATCAGCAACCATTATCCTACACAAAAAATGGGATAAATCAGATATAAAAAAACTACCGTCCTATAACACTCCTCAATGTAATGTATAAACTCCTAACAAAAATTTTAACCAATAGATTGACGACAAAATTAGATGGATACCAGTCGAAAGAACAAGCTGGTTTTAGAAAGGGATTCAGCACAAGTGACCATTTACTAAGTATGAAAATACTTATAGAACGAGCAAATGAATACCATATTTCTCTATATATGGCGTTCATAGATTTCGAAAAGGCTTTCGACAGAATCGAACATTGGGCAGTGAAAAGTTCTTTGATTAACAGCAGAATTGACCACAGGTATACGGAACTAATGGCCAATATATATAAGGAAGCCAAAACAACAATTAAAGTATATGAAGGAACAAAATCAATACAAATAAATAGAGGCGTGAGACAGGGTGATACAATATCACCGAAACTTTTTAATCAGGCTCTTGAAGATACTTTTAAAAGATTAGAATGGGAAGAAAAAGGTATAAACATTTGTGGACAACGCATGAACCATCTAAGGCACGCTGATGATATCGTATTGATAAATGATAAAAAAGAAGAATTATTTTAAATGATGAAAGAACGGGACGTAGATGCTGGAAAGATAGGCCTTAATATGAATTACAGCAAGACCAAAACCATAACAAATAGAGTTGAAGACATCACAATGAGAATCGGACAAGATGAAATAGAACAATAGAACAAGTTCAGGATTATATATATATATATATATATATATATATATATATATATATATATATATATATAATATATATATATATATATATATATCTTGGTCACACTGTAAAACTTAACAAAGAGAACCAAACAGCAGAGATAAAGAGACGAGTTAGACTAGCATGGGCGGCATTTGGCAAACTAAGCTACATTCTTAAAATCAAAAGATATCCACAGCATCTTCAGACCAAAGTATACAATCAATGCGTACTCCCTGTTCTCACTTATGGTTCCCAAACGTGGACATGGAAAGACAAATGTAGCACATACGACTAATAGATAAAAAGAGAAACGAGTGGATAAGACAGAAAACAAAAGTGAGGGATGTTAGACAAGAAGTTGCAAAATTGAAATGGAGATTTGCCGGACACAATATAAGACAAAAAAAAGACCGATGAAACCAAATTCTTATAAGTTGGAGACCGTGGGAATATAAACGAAGCAGAGGAAGGCCCCAAATGAGATGGGTAGATGATATCAAGAAGCACGTGGGCTCTAGGTGGATAACTGTAGCGACAGACAGAGAAGAATGGAAAAAGATTGGGGAGGCCTATGTCCAAAGATGGACCGAAGAAGGCTAATTTAGATAGATAGATAGACTCTTGTTGGATAGGCCGCAATTGACGAAATGCCCCTGAAGATGATCTAGTGATCGAAAGTACTTGAGCAATATTAAATTAATACTGTGCTCGATATTTGCCTTGTATATTATCAAAGTTAAAATATTTTATACAACTTTGATAAAAATAATCAAAAGTCGATTTTTTGTTTTAAATCACGTTAAGAACCAATTTCGTCTGGTCAAGAACGATAATAGCTTCTTATAGGTATACATTATTACCTTGGTCGACACGTAATTAAATTAAAAAATCTCGACGGGCCCCTCATAAATTCGGCAACAAAGCGAGCCGCGTAAATTTGAAACAATATGTTAGTTTGTAGTAATAGGCTCTCCAGGGCCCTAACAGCGGGCCACCATTCATCTAATTTCGAGCCCGGCAGGAGGTTTTTCGTTAGAACCGCCTCTGTTGTTCCAATGTGAGGTCGATCTAGTCACACATTCGTCATGTTTACACTGAGTCGAGAACGTTTAGAGAAGGAATGAATCCTAAAAAGGCCTAATTAGGTCTGTCAGAGTGATCATCAGTCTTGTTTTAAATGGATTCGGTGTTTTAACGACTATACATATATACAGATTTTTCATTTGTATCAAAACCTGTATACATAGAAACATATACATGAATATACATAATGACTTGAATAATATGCTGTTAAACCTACAGGAAACACAAAGTTGAAATGATTAAAGAAATAATTTGACATCAAATTTATTTTTGTCTTCCTCTTGGGAACAACTGAAAAAGTCAAAATTATTTATGATGTATATGCAACTAATCTTCATAACAACACATAAAAGATATGTCTAAGATGTCACAGTATTAAATCAGTTTGGCATTGGTAGCGATCATCGAGCAGTGAGAGATACAATACAGTTAAACTTAAAAAATGAAAGAACAAGATTAATAAAGAGAAGAGAATTGAAAAAATGGAGTACACCAGAAAACACAAAAGAATATGTGAAAGCTATAAATCGGGC